AAAGACAGATAGCCGGTAAGAGAAAACTAGCCGACAAGGCCCTAACCTTAATGCGAGTACTAGGGCTAGGGCTCTGAATCGATGAAAAGAAGTAGTCAACCCATAGACATAGACGGAAAGCTTCAACCATGATCCAGCTTCAATCCGTAATCTTCCTCCTCTTGCCTAGCTCGAGCAATTGGACTCTCTACAGAAAAGGCCTACCTACTGCTTGTGCGCTTACGAGCTAACTGACTTCAATCTTCCTTCAACTGCTACAGCTATGAGACCTCTATCTAATAAGGGAGTCTTTTCTTCTTTTTTTTTATGGGAACAAGAGCCTACGCTTAAAAATTACACATCAAAAGCAAGTGGGCTTGGAGACCTATCTAAGTCATCTAAGTACATCAACCTAATAAACTCAGGAATCTCTTAAAAGAAAGTCAATAGAGCTTCACGTTCCATTGCAATTTAGGCTAGCGAGTCAGCGATGAGATTTCCTTCACGAGGTGTGTAAGAGAAAGGGACTGTCTAACCCCAAGTCTGCATCTGGCAGATATCCTTGGTCGTATTGGAATATCATTCGTAATAGATGTGGAAAAACAACTACTTCATAGCTCGATTTGATGATGACAATGACCATATACGTGTGTTGACGAAAGGCCCATAGGTTGAACCAGGACATTATGAGGCACAACATATACAACACATATTCATATATATACAATTAGACTTGTTCTACTTTCAACCCTCCGACTCTTACATATGAGGCACCGCCTCACCATATAGTTGGAAATCACAATATACTTGAATCTTCCAAATGGGGCTCTATCTCATCATTTGTATCAAGTTCTCACATATATACATAAATCACAATCAATTTCACATTCAACACATACACAAGTGGAACAAGTTACATATATCATATACTTGCTTGATTAGTATCTAGGCCTACTCATGTACCTACCCACTAGGTACCCTCAACGAGATGCAGCATTATTCATACTATACAAGCAAGTTTTCACAACATAATTTATATGCCTATTCACTTATGCATCTTAGTTGGTAACTCAAATTCTATATATAACTTTATACATTCATTTATACATATGGTAGTCATACCACTATCAACTGAGGCTACTCTTTTCTCGATTCCTTTTCCAACCTTCTCGTGCTATCTTTACCTATATTCAAAAGTAACGGAGTGAGATATATGTCCTAGTAACTCAGAGGTAATCTAAATTACTGGTTAGTAAGCAAAATTATAAATAAGAGATAAAGTAGCATGTATTTCAATTAAAGCAATATCATATGCATATATAAGAACTCATTCTCATCAATCTCACTATGCTCATACTCATGCATTCCTAGTTTTACCTAGCAAAATAATTTTTATGCTTGGACCAGAACTTTCAGTCATAAGAAATAGGGCCTACCATACCTTTCCTCAGACTAGGTGCTTTTCATGTATGGGTGGTCTTTTAGGTCCATCATGGTAGAGTTAAACTCTACGATTTGGATCATCAAGACTTTTTAACCTTGTATAGAGTAGGACCACGACTCTCTATCTTAGTTTAAGGTAAACTCGTGGATCATTCCACATCCTAGGTCTATCGTGACAAAGTCAAGCTCTATACTCTAAATCATCAGGATTAACCTAGGTCCATCCTGATAAAGTCAAGCTCTATGCTTTAGATCATCAATACTTCCTAGACCTCCTCATGGTAGGGCCACATCCCTCTACCATAATCCAGGGTATACTTCACAGATGCGACGCAAGTCAATGCACATGCCACCTTAAATTCATTTCAATTAATTCTCACACACTCGCATGCATAATCTTTCACAACACTGCTACTCTATCAGTTCACAACATAATGCACATAGTTATATAAAAATGCTTGTAAATAATTTCACAAACAAATAAGTAAAAGTGTTACTCCAGTTACCTTTAACTCTTGTTATTGAGAGTTACCAACCACACTAAGCTCCCAGGGGTGTAGATTCTCATGAGTAACGCCACAGATGCTCAATCTACACAACATAATACCTCTCAGTCAATTCTTAACACTTAACACAGGATTGATTCAGTTAAATCTAATCCTTTAATACATATAATAGCCCAAATAATGCCTTTTAAATCTATTTATCCACTATCTATATACATTAGCCCTATAGGTTATTTAAATGACCATAACAATCTCCTAACTCATTTATTTGTCCAATTTCCACCGTTAACCTATCTTTTAGGCTATTTTGAGCCTAAATTCTCAAAGTTTAACCATTTCACTTTATACTGGTCACAAAACTTTAGTTCCATATTCGATAGCCTATTTTAACCTTTCTTTTAGATTATAACACCTCAAAACTTCATGGGTCAATTTTTGAACAAATGAAATTCAATGAAAATGAGGTAAAAATGAAATGTAGGGCTGTGCGTCACTTACCCAATAAACCGCTAATCGAAGTTAACATCTAATCTCTAGATATTGCTTGCCCTAGCAGACCTGAACCTCTTCTCCTCTCCAAACATTTTTTCCCTTCCTTCTCTTTCTATTTTCATGATTTGACTTAATCTTTAAGTAAAAATTCTACAACATGCACCATGGCACATGCAACTTTACATTAAGCATGCCTTTCTTGATATGTTTGGCCTAGACTCCTCCTTTTTGGACCTTATGCACACCTCCTTGCACCTTAGCTAAGCCATCAGTAGTCTATTTGATGGAGATGCTCAACATGTGCATGGAAATTAATAGAAAAGATGGCTTCTAACGAACAATAGTCTAATTATAGGGAAATAGATGTTAACAGAATGTATGAAGTACTTAGCTGACTAGAAAAGCACCTTACAAATTTGCAAAGTCAAGTTTCACTTATTACTCAACATGTTTATAAGTTTACTTTTGCTAGTGCTATGTTTGCTGGTTGTTCTGTTAATGCTATGAACTCTATAAATTAAGGATATTCTGTGAATACTAGATTATTTGCTCGTAGTGCTGATTTGTCACAAGCACTACTTGCATCTTCTTGCCCTATTTGTGATTCACCTATACATATTGCTTCTCTTTGTCCTGCAAGACATGATGCTCAACAGTTGTTGCCCTTCCACAAATACAATAGGGATGGGATGAGGAAGATTGAGGATGTGATTAGAGATTGTCCTCCCAATGTCAATCCCTAGAAATAGGATATATTTGTTAGGTGACAACAGGCTCTTGAGCAACAAATAATTATTTTATTATAAATTTGAATATTCAAATATTAATATTAATTTCAATTATAATCTATTTATTTATATATTAATTGATTTAACTTATTATATTAAAACATATTTTATTTTTTCTACAACAGGAGGTTTCATAAAAGAATAGGGATAGTAGGAGCCAATAAACAATCCACATTTGGTGGATCCAATGGATTTTCCTGCCGTTATAATGAGATGATAAGTTGAATAATTAACTTTTTATGATGAGAAATATTATTGCATTAATTTTTTTTTTGTTTTAATTGCTTTGTTGATTACAAGAAAAGCCCAAGCTAGAGAAAAGGTCAATGTGGGCAACCTTTTTATTGACACGCACTAACACAAGGATGGTTTCCCTCCATTAGTAAAGGTTCCAAAAATAATTGTAAGTAAAGTAATTTAATTATTTGAATTTTTTTGCAGGATAGTTATTTTCATAAGGTTATAATTTAATTAATTAAATTTAATTGGCAGGACAAGATTAGGGAGTCCTAGGATGAGATATAGGAGTCTTAGGCACAATGGAGCCTTACACTCTGTTACAAGTGGCTTTTGGACACCTAGAGCATATTGGCCAGGTTCGTGGCATGGGTTTCGGTGCCACATCGACATAGGTTTCCGATAGCAGCCACCACTCTGTCCTATTGCATGAGTACGCAACTCAAATCTTCCCTAGAGGCATCTATATACCACAAATGATCCCCTAGGGTCTATTATTATGAGTACATGAGTGTTGTACATTTAGTTCTTAGAATGTTGTTTCACACTGATCATCTTAAACAGATGGTCAAAATATAGACAAAAGAGTTACTATAAACAATATGTGTGAATTGGTCTAAAATTTTCCTATCTTTGTCCCATGATTTGAAACCATGAAAAGAGAATTTTGCATATAAAATTTGCTAATTTATAAAGAAAAATTTGTCAAATATATCACAATTCTCACTGATTTCTTAATAAATTTACATGATATATTTTATAAGTAAGATTTATTAATTAGTGAACGGAAATGATTTCCACTTTATGATATATTTTACAAGTTTTACCTTTACAAATTAACAAATGTTACTTGTATATTATTTTATTTTGAGAGTTGCTAATCATGGGAGAGTAGTAAAATTTTAGAACAATTCACATCCTTATTTTGGATTTTCCAATAGTTTCATCTTATTTAAGTTTAATTGAATCTTTAATTTTGATCTTCAGTGTCATTACTAAATTAGTAATCGTTAAAATTAATAGTTGCATCTGGTTCATAGTTTAATTAGAGATATTTTTATGTACATTTATTTAAGATAAACAAAAGAGTTTTAATATTTTTGATGGGTAATTAGTCTGCTCATTAAAAGTTTTGATATGCTTTAATATGTATTTTTATGGTGAAGCTTTTAATAAAATTGATTGTATTTTTTTACATGGAAATTTATTAGTATTATCACTATGTGTTTGGATTAACTGATAATATGGTTAGTCTCTCTCAACTAAAAATTTTGACCTTAAGACCTAAATATGCAATCTATTTATTATTGATGATGATATTTGTATATCATGATTTTTTGGAAATGAAAATAAATATTAATTTAAAGAGAACAAAGTTTAAGCTATCATTAATATCATCAATGTAACAATACAATGGTAAGTTCAGTCTTCTGTAAGAGTTTGTATAAATTTAAATTTTAAACAGAAAAAGTCACCAAAAAATTCAGACATACAAAACAGTTACTGCAGTCAAGGAGGGCAGGGTGAGGTTTTAAGATTCGTATGCATCCATAAGATGTGCGAAACTTGAAAAATCAGAGCCATCAAAATGGAACCCCTGGCCAAAGAACAAAGCCGAACACGCTTTTGACTGCTTCTTCAAAATCCAGGCATCGTCAAGTTCGCTGAATCCGCCATTCGCCTGTAAGTCCGGTCGCCCATGGATTTCCCTCCGATCTACCATCTCCCTCTTGACTCTCTCCACCAGATCTTCTCCTCCCTCCCTCTCCGTCAGATCATCATCTGCCGCGCCGTCTCCAAGTTCTTCCATCATTTCCTCACATCTCCTTCCTTCGTTCACTCTGTCTCTTCCCAGCATCCACCTCTCTATCTCCTTGCTCTTCGCCCACCTCACCATCGCCATCTTCATCACGCCCAACGCCATCATGTCTCCTCCTCTTCTTCCCTTGACGTCTTCGATCCCGACCTCAATCAATGGCTCAAGTTCCCTCTCGAGTTCATTCCATTTCGGTTGCTTCACCCCGTCGCATCCTGCCTGGGACTGATTTATTTCTGGGGTGAATCTTCTGACTCGCTCGATTCGAGCAAGTCACTGGTTGTCTGTAACCCATTGACACGGCAATTTCGGGTCTTGCCGCAGCTGGGATCCGCTTGGTCGCGTCATGGGTCAGTCCTTGTTGACTCGGCTAATCGAGTCATGGTTCTTACTGAACTCGCGGCTCTTTACTTCTCGGGCACATCCAAAAACTGGCTGAAGTTCTCATCGAATTTGCCTTCAAAACCTAGAAGCCCAATTTTGGTTTCTGACTCTGTTTATGCGCTTTGTGATGTTGGGTCTCCTTGGAGAAACCAATGGAAGCTGTACTCTTGCAATCTCACCAAGCTTACTACATCGCAGACTTGGACCCGTCTTGAAAGGCAGGAATGGAAGGACGTGTTCGATATCTTGAAACGGCCCCGTTTGGTACGTGGAGTTGGAAATCGGATTTTGATGATTGGTGGGTTGAAATCTTCCTTCTCATTGAACTCGCCTTGCTCAACAATTTTGATTTTGAGGTTGGATTTGGACACATTGGACTGGGACGAGGCAGGGCGAATGCCGGTGGATATGTTCAAGTGTTTCCAGGAATCAAGCAAGTTCAAAGTGTTTGGTGGCGGAGATAGAGTTTGTTTCTCGGCCAAGAGAATTGGGAAATTGGCGTTGTGGGATCGGTGCGGTGCTGTTGGGGATTGGCGATGGATAGATAAGATGCCTGGAAATGGCGATGGGCTTTATCGGGGATTTGTGTTTGAAGGAAGGCTAACGTCTTTACCTTGACGGGTAATGCTCCTTTTTCACTTGCTATGTGGAATTGGAGGATGGGTATGCTTGTAACTTGTAAGGATTGTTTGTTGTATGACTAGTCTATCTTGAACTTTATTTGTACCAAACTAACAATGTTTAATCAATGCAATTCAACTAAATTTCAGATTTTTCTAAGGAATCATCAGCATAATTACAAGTTTATAATTGCCAAACTGATAACATGTTTGTGTTTTCGTCCGTAGCTTTTCTTTCTAACTCTAATTTTAGTAGGTTTTATAGCTGAATTGTACGCGTTACTTTTTCTGAACTTAGAATTTCACTATTATGGTACATATCAGGTAAACTGGTTTAACTAGAACTGAAGTGGACTGGACCTTATGCATTTTTAGGAAACTCAATATGAGTTACATTGTTCATAACTTGTGAGAAATGCGGCTTCCTACAACTTTTATGGATATATTGATATTGATGATTTGATTCAGTTTTTTCTGTAAATTAGTGTTTAATTCTGTATAAGTGTTCTTAGCACAGACTTGTCTGCACTGGCAAAGGTATGAATGTAATTCCTTTGAATTTCTAGTGAACCACTGACATTGATTTTTTGTAGTCAGGTGAATGTAGTTTGATCCTTGATGTGAATCCTTCTGATGCATTGATTCTTCAATAGAATGAGCTAGGTAACTGGTGAAGCTCCCTTCCCTCTTCCGAACCCTTTGTTTCGACTAAGTTACGGTCAATTTTCTTGATGAATTAAAACTGCTTTATTTTTCTTCAAACAAAAACATGGCAGGCTTTCCAGGGTATTAGATTGCTCTTTTGTTTTAGGGTTTTCTACTTTTGCAATTTTTTTTTTTTTTGGTTGACTGGTCTCCTCATAGGCGTGAAAGTATTACAAGAGGAAATTGATTTGGAACTGTAAGCACCAAATCATAAAACTACTGAAGTAGGTATCTGCTATTAATCATTTTACTTTCAAGCATGAAATTTCTTGGTCCCCTGAATTTAAGTAACTGCAAGTGAGAATTTTGGCAGAACTTATAACCAGTGAAAGGGTTTTGCAAAACTTGCAGAAAATGGATTAGGCAACAGTGATCTACGTCTGACTTAGTGACTGACTACATTTTTATTAATTCCTCTATTGGAAAATTTGAAAGGCCTATTGCAAGATTTTGTTGACATATTGATTCCCCAGGTACGTGTGGTGCAAAGGAATGAAAAGGAAATGAAAAAATTAATAAAACAAAGGGAAAATAACACTTGCAGTTCTAATTTTTAAAAGAAAAGTATTATAAAGAGACAATCACTATTTAGTGATAATAACAGATGCATAATGAACATTACATAATATTTTTTTTCTAACTCCTATTCTTTTCTCTACTTGCTACCAAATATGCCCAACTGTTTGTAATTTTGCTTGATGCAGAACTTGCTCCCCCTTTTTATAATGTGGGAAAATAGTCTGTAGGGATAGGTGCGTAAATTGGCAGGGGATTGAGATTCTTGAGAAACACGCAACATGCTGATTCAATGGTATTATGTGTCATGATATCTGAGCATTTATTTATTGGATAAAAAAATTTCACTGAGTAAAAAATGTCCATCATGGTTTACAAGAAATGTCTCTTGTGGAATGTATATCAATATAGTTTTCACTATGGGGACATTTCTCTGAAAGCTTGAGTCATAAGTTCGTACTTCTTAGCATGTGCTTCTTTGAAAGTTGATGTTTATTCTCTATAAAATACAAAATTAGGAATCTTGCTTCTCTTGCTAACACACTGATGTTTGAGAGTTAATAATCTCGTGTACAGGAATCATTGTGATAGAAAAAGTTACCATACATCTGTAGGCCATATATGGCAGGGAAAATCAAATAATACCAGATGGAGAGGAAAATGAAAAGTACTCTTTTTATTGAACCACCAGCCTAGATATTATTAGTACATTCTGTAAAATACATAATATGGTCAATAAACATTCGGTCAAGCATTCCTTTTCCTGAACGAAAATGATTAGAGTGATGATAATTAGCCCTGCACTTCTTTTGATGCTGAGAACCACTGGGAATCGTTCTCCAGGGCTGTGACAGAGGCAACTTACTGTGTTTCTGATGGTGAGTTGAGTTTGAGATAATGGAGGATTAATGGTGCCAGGAATAGTACTCTACTAAAGTGGAGGAATGAACACCAGTCTTGATCTTGATTGAGTCATTGCACTTTCTTAGTGGATGAGCTTCTCTGTTCCCATGGATTTATGAGGGGTATTTATTCTGGTGAAGATGGTAGGACTAAGGAAGTATATGTGTAGCAAGTCCAATGGTTATTTTGTAGGATGTCATAAATTATATCTAACGCATAAGGCTGGGTTATAGGTAGACCGTAATGCTTTATTGGCCCCAGATGTTCCTTGCATGCCTTGATGCCTCAAGTACTATGAGTGAGGTGCTAAACAGCTCCTGTGCCTCTCATATCACAAGAGTTGCAGGGTTCATCATGGCATCGAAACTTAAGCACCTGTGAAGCAATCAGATTATAAGCCCAAGTCTAGAAACTATATAAGATAACTTGAAGAGTCTAGCCCATTTATATTTCAGAGAATGGGTTTAAATTGTAATTCTTGCTTTGAAATATTATTTAGGTTATTAGTTTCTTAGGTGATTTCAATGCAGAGTTAGCATGGATGCTGTAGTAAAGGCAGCAGGTGTTGGAGAAGCTAGCTAACTATCTAGAAGCCTGACTAGATATTCTAGCCTACTTACTAATATTGAGGAAGTAGAGGCTGATTCAATTGAGATAGAGGAAGGTGATGAAGGATAAAAATCCAATGAATGAGAGGGAAATGTGATTTAGTTCATTTGTATGTAGATTTTTTTAAATTCATTTTATTTTTTTCCTTTCTAATAACTAAATGTGACCTTAGTGTTTTTGATTCAATTATCTAATTTGACAAGCTCTCTGATTATTCTTTACTGCCTTTAAAGATTATTTTGAACTAGATTGGTGGGTTTTATTTTTGTTATTTTGTTAATAGTGCATGACTGACATGGCCATTGCAATTACTTATTTTTGTTCTCATGTCTTATATTCTTCAGAATCTATCTATATATGCAAGGTTTTAAAAACTAAATTAGACATTAAATTGATTGAGACATTGGTTTATGATTCATTGGTCGGATCAGGGTTGAATTAGTTACTATTAAATTAATATATTTTTAATTGTATGTATTAGAGTAATGTGATATAAGAATTTTTTTTTTAGAAAAAAAATAATGAATAATAACTTTTCCTTTATTCAGTTTAGCATAGAATCTAATAATAAATAAGTTTGTAAGTTATGAAATTAAAATCATTCTCAATATGTGTAATATTCATGAATCCACCTTTATTATATAAACAAATAACAAAGCATCCTGTAGTATTATATATCTTAAATTTAAGAGATTAAACCTGAAATAAATAAATAAGTACTTAACATTAGACGTGTTAAATAGATGTGATTATTTAATTATAAAAAGTTTAGGAGTTAAGTTAAAAAGAATAAGTGAAGATCGCTTGAAAAAGTTAAACCATAGAGTCTCGCAACGAAAAATAGCAAACTCTCAACTTTAGATGATTGCCTCCAAAATGACGGGAGGCTGTGCGCGGTGTGCAGGAATGTCGTTGTCTCAATTTGAAAATTACAACTCTTGACCCGTGTGAAAATTACAACTCCGGCCTCTTTTTTTTTTCCCCTTTCAAGAAAAATTTTGATTCGGTTCATGAGCTTAGACTGGTTCACTTTTTATAAATTAAGATGGTTTTTACTGTGTTAGCCAGTTGTTGACTGGTTAGCCAGCTGCCTGTTTAAGGGAGTTGATCGGACTAGATCAAGAGCTGATTTTCAATTAAATCGGTTGATTTGTTCTGGCATGCATATACGTCTATCTATCTTCCATTATGATAAAGCATAATGTGTTATAAATATTAAAATATTATGTGGATGTTTATTATCTCAGATTCTCCAATATCTTTCAATTATTATAATATCTTTCAGTTATTATTATCTTGTATATTTTATTCACTTTAACTGATATATTTGTACTTATAAATAGAAAGCACTTCAGTTGTGTTCCACACGGTGAAATAAGAAAGCTCCCTATTCTCTTATTCTCTCAATATAGTATTCTCTCTTCTCTTCTACTTTCAATGTCTATTTCATAACACATTATCAATATGATTGTTTTTCTTCTACCATCACTAGCTATGTATTTTTATTTTTTTTTCTTCTTAAGTTTACTTTCATCTATTCTATTAGTGCATTAGAGATTTATGCTCATGCCTATGAACATCTCTAATATAGATGGAGGCACAATTTAAATTTTAGAAACTGTGGATCCGAAAGTTATCCACACATAACATAGAGTGAATCCTAAAAATATCCACAAAACTTAAAGTGGATCTTAAACTTATTCATGTGATATAATGTATATCTTGAAGATATTTACATTTAAGTATTTATTTGTTTATTTACTTATTTATTTTGCATTTAGTTTCTTATTTCTATTTTCTTGTGTGTATATATATATATAATTCATTTGGTTATCTATATATATAATTTTAAGGAAAGTAGATTCTGAAGTTATTCACACAAAAATAAATCTTGAAGTTATCCATATAAAATATAAAATAAATCCCGAAGTTATCCATATAAAAAAAATATAAAGTGGATCCTGGAGATATCCATAAAATTTAAAGTGAATTTAGAAGATGTCCACAGTATAAAGTAGATCTTGGAGACATCTACATTTAAATATTTATTCATTTATATATTCTACATTTAGAATATGATCATTAGAAAACATTTACCCTTCGACAAGCGTGAAATGAATGGATGCACTTGCACTTACAAGACTTTAAAACTATAAGTAAGTATAATTTAACTATGTTTAGAATTAATTCTAAACTCAAATTGTGTGGAGAAAAAAAAATCACTAATGGAGATATGTTAGAAAAAACATACTCCACAGTTCATGCATCTAATATGCTCTTGTAACAACAATACCGCCAAAAAGGATTTAAGAAAAATTCAGAGCTAATATCATATCTCTTAGTTGCTGAACAAAACAATGAGTTATTAATGAAAAACCATGAGTTACAACTAATTGGCACTGCTCCATGCTCTGAAGTGAATGCAGC